CGGATGGGAGCATGGGGTGGGAGCAGGCAAGCTGGATCCTGCATCCATGCGTGCTTCGCCGCGGTTACTTGACTCTTTCCAAATGAAGGCACCTTTCCTACATCATTGGTCCTATCACGTCGGCAAAAATCCCTAGGTATGATTTAGGGGAACTCCAACGTTGATCACCTATTCATTCGCAAACCGGTACATGTGTTGGACTGGTCTGGACGTTCGAAATCCCACAAAGTGACACAAAATAGGGGAAGGTCCCGGTGAATTCGGTGGATTCCAAACAAGAGATCCTTGCCTGACTCATAGGTGTTGACAACTCGATCTGCCCTATGGGGATCTCCCGAAAGCAAAAATCTGACATAGAGGAAAGGCAACACAGTTGATGTCAAATCCCATATGGATCTCGGTTCTGGGAAGAACGACCCGTGCATGGTGCGCCGTTGTCAGTTTGGATTCCGGCAGACCCTTTGGTAGGGTATCGAGACTAGCCAGATAAAGCCAGATGGGAAATAGGAAATACAGTACCCAGGTTCAGACCCTCGCTCTCGAGGTAAAACCCTCTTATTTTATTAATTCGATAGGATGTACACAATAAGGCCTCGTTTGGTAGAAGAGGGTCGAGAGGGTTTTGAAGGGAATTTCCTCGCGTGGCCCAGAAACCCCGCAAAACCTCGAGGGCCCGTTTGGTACACGGGGTTTCGGCGGCCCAACCCCCTCCGACCCCCTCCTATACCTCCTTTCCACGCGGTTCAGAGCCCTCGAGGGGGGACGCGTGGATTTGAGGAGGAAAGGAAACCGCGCCGCCGCCTGCTCACAGTGCCGCCGCCCAACTCCTCTTCAACGCGCCGTAGGCCAACTCCCTCGACGCCGGCGTACTTCCTCCGCCATACTAGGCTTCTCCCCGGTGGTAAGACCTCGCCTCGTCTCCTCCTCTTTCCCCTAGTCGTCTAGGTTTCTTCCATCCGCCCGGCCATGGCTGCCGCCTCGTCTTCTCCGGCGAGCTGGCCAAGCACGACGTCTCCGAGGGCACCAGAGCCCTCACCAAGTTCACCTCCTCCTAGACTGATGGCGTGTTGTTGGTTTTTGTATCTGTACTCTTGACTCTGCCTACCTGTCTGCAAGTAGTGGTAGTAGTACGTGTGCTGGGTGTTTGCCAACGCTTTGTTGGTTTGTTGTTTGTAAGAACTGTAATCTGTTGCTACTTTTGGCAAACTGATCGATCTATCGATATGGTAATACTGCAGTAGTGTTGATCTATCTATATGGTAATACTGCAGTAGTGTTGGCTTTCCGCTGTTCTGAACACATCAATGTATGGCCATTCATATTTTAGTTGTTGAACTCTAGTTATTTGCAGACCTCCTGCATGTTCTAGATTTTTTACTGAATTTACTGTGAATCATTGTATCCTGTTGTGCAAACAGAGATTTAGAAATAGTGATGCATTCATGTACTAGTGATTTGATTTTTTTACTTGGTGATTGAATTGATCTCTGCCATGTCTGCTTTCATATGGCAACAGCTTGGTGTTGCTCTGAAAATGACAAATGTGAGTTGTTTTCAAGAAAAATGAAATGTGAGTTAGCTCTCCTTTTATCGCTTCGCTTGTCAAACCGAAGGAACCTTTCATGCCTGCTATGTATATTAGGTGTACCATGGAGCGGCTGTAGTAGTAGCTTCAGACTTGGCTTCGATGGTGCTCTGTAGTTAGATGATGGCGTGTGCTCTGACCATGTTGTCCTACTGTAAGATTTGTGCTGGAATTCGTGTGTTGCAACCAGAGTGTTCTTGGATAAATCAGAAGTGGCATATGCAACTTAATTATGTCGCTCTTGAGACTTGTGAATGCCGAATACCTATGAGATATTATTGGTTCCAAGTCATGCCGCTGTGACGGATTATGATGCTGTGTGTGACTGCACAATTATGTGATGATATATTGATTCCAAGTCAAGCAAATTATGATGTTGGTGTGAATAATTGTCGCAAGATTATATTTTTAACTGTTCTACACCATTTTAATTCAATATGGCAATCCCTTCCTGTCAAACATTGTTCCATATGGAGGGGATGTGTGGCTGGAGGGGGATTTGAGATTTCAAGGGGATTGGGTGAAAGAGGGGGATTCACCAAATCCCCTGAAATCCCCTCCTCCCAAAACCTCCACAATCCCTTCCTGTCAAACGAGGCCTAAAGGTGTGGTCTCTAGGATTGTAAGTATAGCAAAGTGTCAAGGTTAGGATGCCTATCAACAAGCCCGGACCCTGGCTTATAAAGGATGCTTGGATCCTAGTTTTATACAAAGGCCAGTGTGGAGGATTCCACGATGATCCGGCCTCCTTGTCTTGCACGACAAGGATGGTGGCTCCTTTCCAAAAGGGCGCTTATAGGCTCCGACGCACCGGCCGAAACTTTCGGCCGGTCCAGCCCAGGCCATCAGATGTGAGCCAGGCGGCCGTTGGATCCAGGCAAAAAAAAAAAACAGATCACCCCCAGCTTCTTCTTCCTCGCGCAGGCGGCCTGGATCCGCATCTCCCGCTCGGGGAGCACGACACCGCGCCTCCTGTCCCCTCCGGTGGTCGTCCCCGTCGTCAGTCCTCACCCTCGCCGGACATCCTCGTCGCCCACCGGATCCCGCCCTCGCCGACCGTCCTCGTCAATGGTCCCCCACCCTCCCGGCCTCGTTCTCGCCTCGACCAATGCACCAGCTCCACCTACGGTTGCAGCTCTTGACGATGAAGGTTGTAGCTCCGCCGCCCTCGCCATTGATGCTCGCTGCAGGAAAAATACGTCGACGGAGGCCGTGAGTATCAACACCATTTGAATGGATGTAGCAAAAAATTTCACCGGTAGTAGCAAAATCAAACTACGGGTGCAGCAAAAACGCCGTCGCCACCTTCGCGAGGTCGCAGCTCCGCCTTACATGGATGTAGCAAAAACCTCCAACGGTAGTAGCAAAATCCTGCTACGTTGCAGCAAAAAAATCATTGTCGTCCTCGCGAGGTCGCAGCTCTGCCTGATGGATGTAGCAAAAAGCTTTGCCCGTAGTAGCAAAATCCAACAACGATTGCAACTTTCCCTTGTTGTGCAGTGCCATTGAAGCTTTCTATGTCTATGGTTGAAGCTTTTTTCAACGGCTGTTGAAGCTTTTCTAGGTGACGGTTGCAACACTTGTATACGTGGGAGGATCCGGGCATGGCTGCAGGCAGCCATGGCGGTCGGCGAGGGAGCGCTTGGCCGCCGGCGATGGAGCTTATGGTGGCCCAAACACAGCCCAGGAGGAGGGGGGAGGGGATGCGCGCGTGTGAATACTGTAGGTAGGGGGTGGACGTGTCGTGCGCGTGGGGAAATCGCTGGCCGTGCAGTGGACGGCGGCCTCGCCGGGGAGATTGGGCTGCCGCAGGTAGAGGGTCGATGCGGGGGGTAGACGGCGGCCTTGCCAGTGAGATTGGGCTGCAGCGGGGTAGGGACGCGATGCGGGGGTGGACGGCGGCCTCGCCTGCGAGATTGGGCTGCAGCAGATGGGTGTGCGGATGCAGGTCCCATCGACACAGGAGCACGAGGTAGTGGGCGACCGGCCGAAGCTTCAGCCGGCGCACCGTCTCCAAACGTTTCCCTTTCCAAAAAGTCCAAAGGCCGAGCTAGAGACCATGGTCGTACACCGGCTTGGGGGTCCTGGGCTGGACTGATGGGCCTGACTTCCAGTATCCTGCGGTACCCATGAGCCATGGCAGCATCAACCAGGTAGCACTAAGTTGCAATGTAGATTTCCCAAAGTCTCCTGTTCATATATATTCTCTACTATAGTTTGCTTTCCTGGCAATCATCTCTTCAGTTTGTGTCATATGCGACCTATTTGTTAGAATAAACAATT